TGTTTCCGCGACCTCCACCTCGATTTCCACGGTTGCTTCGACCGCCTCCGCGATTCGGGTTGTAGTGATTGGTTGGAGACGACGTTTTGTTCTGATGTAATTGTGGTGAAGATGCGATGAGGACGTGATGAGAATATATGCATTCCTATTCTATTACTTGATCCTAACCGAGTTAAATGTGTGGTAGACAATCATGGCTATGCGATTTATTTTTCGAGAGAAACAAGTTTGGCTCGCCTAAAACGCGGCGTTTCATTATAACCGTGCAAACGAGGATTTTAAATCAAATTGAAACAAAATAGGGTGAATGTTAATTTTTCTTATCCAAAGTTGACAGAAGCTAAATCTCAATATTAATTTTCACTTGGTCATTATTTACTGAACTTGAAAATTTGGTATAAAGACCAATAAATAACTCGTGAGTGAAAAATGAGCCAACTTTATATTCATACCTACCAATTTCTGTAATCCTTCATTAGCAAATGGAAGCAAGAAACCAAAAAAGGAACACAGTAGAAGTCTCAGCTCATCAACATGTAGTGTAGCTTATCTAGAACCCTAAACCCCCCCTTTTAAGTATCTTCTATCATCAATCTTCTTTCTGAAGAGCAACATAGTTCAACGGTATTGCGGTGTTGCCTCTTCCGCTTTCTCTATAGTCTTTGCCACCAGAAATAGCAGAACGTCCGGGCGTACTTCCAATCCGTCGACCAATTGGAGTTTTAGTCACATTGTCTGAGTTAAGACTCTGTCCCAGTGGCTTCTTCTTTGCAGACTTTGAACCGTAATTTGCTTCTTTCTCTGTAGCAAGAACACCTTGTAGTCGTTTCTGCTCCTGTTAACACACACAAAAAAAAAGACAGAGAACTTTGTTTTGTTAGCGCTCACCGCTCAACAACACAATGATTGTCTACAATTCTATATTTTTGATAATGCATACTCGGAATTGGCGCTTTTCCTCTTCTCTTTGAGCACGTATCACAATGTCTTCTTCCAGTGTTTGTAACAACGGGTGCTGGAATCAAAAGGCATAGATCATATAAGCTGACCATAAAAGAGAATTAAGTAAAATGCACAATTAGTTTACCTTATCACATAAGAAGGGGACTCCTCGTTCTTTTTCCCAGGCTTTCACTTTGGTGATCAAAACATCGATCATCACTAAGAAAAGAAACAATAGAGGGTTAATAACTAAATATCATCTTACGGTTGATCAGTTTTCCAACAGAGATTCTCTATAAACATCAATGAGTTATCGAATTTCATCTGGAACCAATGATCCAGTATTATGTAGTACATCCAAACAACTTTTAAAGCTAAAAAAGACCCCCCAAATCTCATTGTTGCACGGCTTAAAATTTAAAGGACTAACTAATCACAGAGTATAGTTCCCAGTCAGACTTGCTTGCATTAACTAAGTAATGAAAGTAGAAAAACTCACCAGGAATTTTGCTGATAAGGCTCCTAGCTTTCTCTGCTCGTTTCAAATTTTTGTGCGCTCCTCTTACAGCACTGAAGCGATTTTCATCCTGTTAAAGAAACAAAATGGAAGAGACAATCAAGAAAACATAATAGAAAAAAAGCTAGACTGTAGGAGGTTCACACAAACTTAGATTCTCTCTAAAAGACATTCTCTACGAGTGATTCACAGGTTGTGGTTAACCTTAGACTTGATAACTCTATTTTCATCAGATAAATGTTCACAATCAACTCCTAGGTCCACAAATCTTCTCTTCACCTATATCCATGAAAGAAAACACTGATACACATTTCTGGTATTTATTTACCTTTTCATAGTCATCAAGCCATTTTTCTTCCTCCTTTGCGTGCCTCCACTTATCAACTTTGTCCAAAATTTCCTTTCTGCTTAAAGCTTCCTCTTTTGCCTTCTCGATCTGAACATCTATCCTTGCAAGAATATCAGACAGATCACCATCACCTGCAAATAGAAACTTTATTATACCTTTGGAAGTCAAGGAGAAGCACTAAACTACACTGCCACATTGAATTGCTAATTAATTACTCAGACGTATCTAAGAGGAATTTGTATGGTACCAGAATCAATGAGGTCGACCAGACTCTGTCTTGCAGCATTGCTATCTACATCCATATGAACTTCTCTGCAAATTTCTTCTAGCTCACACTGTCTTTTTAGCACCAACTCCTTCATTTTTCTGGACTTGAGGGCATTCAATCTTTTCACTTCATCTTCAGCCTATGAACAAAAGATTAGACTCACCGACTCAGATATATAGATAAAAATGATATGTAAGTTATTAAAAAATATGACCGCATTACCTCCCAGAGAATGTCCAGACCAAGGCATCCTTTTTTCTTGATATCGTCAGCTGGAACAAGAAGTAAACTACTGACATGGCCAAATCTACTCCTCTCATCCATAGGTGTTTCCATTAGGCTCCACAGCTCTTGCATAGTTCTTCCCAAACCTTGTAACTGAAATAGATAAGAATTTCAAAAAAGTGTATATCTAATTTGAATGCTAGTTGAGCTCAAGTGCTGTGAAAAGAAATGAGAAATCATATACACAATACTAAATCCCCAAAGATTTTGACTTATGTTCCAACCTCCAAGTAATCACATATAAAAAGAACAAAAAGGTCGCTTAGTGATACCAATGTCTATATTATGTCAAACATATTCAGCCACTTGTTGTGGAGCTACATAGTGATCATTAAACTATGAAAAAGCTGCAAGATTCGAGTGGCTCTTCAAGTAATATGCTAAGAAATTGAATTTGCTCATATGTAATATCATAACCTGAAGTGTAAACCAGCAAACTAACAGAATAAAAAAATTGGTAACATATAATGCAAAAAGATAAGTAGTAAAAGTTCGAAAGTTTTCTTTGATCACCTTAAGCAGTCTCTCATGTTTCTCTTCCTTCAGAGACGCTACAAGTTCTGTTAATCTAGCAAGGGTATCATTACTAATGCTTTTGGAATGAGTCTTTGAAAACTCGGTCAAGCTTCTATGGACATTACTCAAGGCCTTAGAGAAATCAAATGACATTATCTCTGATAACTCATGGACAGCATTGATAAAAGAGTTCACTTTCTGCAATCGAACAGCCTGAAATTGAAATAAAGATGAATAATTAAGTACATAACGACAAAGATTTTGAAACAAACGCTAAACATGTATACGCAGATATAAAAACACCTTCTCATTGCGAAGATCCTTCAGATGTGCTCTAAGTTCATCCAACTTTCTTTGTGTCAAGTCACTTTCATCAATTTCTGGACCAGAGCTAACCGGATAATCATTCCCGGCTATGTTAGAAGAGATCTCTTCTATTTGTGTAAGTGTCTCAGAGAGATCTTTCACTCTTTGTTCCTTTTTCATCATCAAATCTTCCAACACAGGCTTTACACTAGATATCTGCTCTTTCAAAGAGCCTTCTTTCTTCTCAAACAGAAAATAAGACAAATTATATACAAATGCTCTCTATGAGACAAACATGTAGTGATGCTAAGAGTACCATACCCTTGAAAACGAAACTTGTTCACCAAGTGCAGACATGAGGCTAGCAATTTCAGCTTCCGCTTGAGCTAACGATCGCTGTAACTCGGCTCTGTACTTACGAGTTTTCTCGACCTTTTTGTTGTATATATCCAGACATTCCTGCTCAAGATCTAGCAGCATCTTATCTCTCTCGTCGTAACTTTCACCAATCTCATCCCATATTATCTACATCAGAATCAAAACTTGTGATAAATATCAATGCATTCCAATTCAATCACAGTATACCACGAAACAAAGATATCCTCACCAAGTCATTAATAGTAGTAATCATAAATCCTAATTTCGATTACTAATCGAGGAAAATTCTAGAATCAAAAATGATCGAGCAAGAGAATTGATTCAAACAACTAGTAAGATAAACAAAGACCAACTAAGAATTCCATAATCCAAACCCAAAGCAATAGGCAGAGAGGTATAATTCGGCAAATCAAAGTCGGATTAAGAACAAATTTCTTAGAACGAATATGAAAACGTTAACAAGAAAAGAAGCGAGAACGAATCGAAACGATGAATCTAACGAGACTGTGAACAGAAGCATAAACCCTATAAATTCCAATATGGTTTTCAATTGCGTTACCGAACTAAAACAAGGAATCATCAGAGATAATCGCACTCGCTCGAAATCGAAAAGGCGTGATTAAATCGGAACAATCTGGGGAAAATGAAGAAGCTACGGTGAGAAAAACGAGGGAATTGAGAACCTGCAACTCGTGAAGAAGGGAAGTGCAAGTGGTGGTTGAAGACGGAGACATTTTGTTGCCGTCTCCGCCGCCGGAGCCGAGTGGTGAAATTTGAGGTTGTTTAGAAACCCTAGAAGATGAAGTGTGAAGATCCCGAGAGATTTCTTCTGAGAGGTCGAGAGGAAAATGTCGATATGGAAAGAACGTTTTTGGGCGGTAAATTGGAATTTTTTTTGTATCCCTCTCGAAATTTGTGCAGCCAAAGTCCAAATTTCTTTTTAGAATATGTATA